ATCCAATGAATAGGTTAGCCTGCCCTTTCACTCCAACAAAAACCAAAAAACTCCATTTTAATCCAACATTGGCATAAGTTACTTAAATAAATTCGATGCGTGAAATAATTAAAAGAAATATAATTATAAGAATAACAATTACATTCTTTTATATTTATAAAAAAAAAATTAGTAGTAATATACTAAAGAATAGTAAAAAAAATTTACCTTAGTTTTCTCTCTTTTCTTTTAACTATCGTAGTCTCTTTCATTCTTCATCTTTATGACCGGTAGCGGTACTAACCTTGGTGTTGGTTGCTGACCGTCGATATTCATTATTTCTTTTTTATTTTATTATAGTATATCTTTATTTTTTTCAAGATTAATAACCTCAGTGACTAAAAATGCTTTATAATATACGATTTTAACCAATTTTTTTGGATTTGCCAAAATGACCAACTAAATCGTAATGCGATCGATAATTCGCAACGCGATCTCCGGTATCGCAAATCAGTTTCCAGATTCACAACGCGAACTTCGACTATCGCATTGCGATTTACATATTCGCATTGCGATAGTCCAAGTTCTCGTTGCGATAGTCGAAGTTCGCGTTGCGATTTATTCCAAATTCGTTGCGATAGTCCAAGTTCGCGTTGCGATTTATTCCAAGTTCGTTGCGATAGTCCAAGTTCGCGTTGCGCTTTATTCCAAATTCGTTGCGATAGTCCAAAATCGCAACGACTCGTATTACCACGACCACGACCACGACCACGAGACGGGACGGCGGCGGCGGCGGCGCGCGAGAGTCCCCCTTGTTCTCTATCACTCAACAAGGAAGTGGGAAAGCCAAGCCTTAAATATCATTTCCAGTAGTGTTTTCAATACTATGTGGGATTGAGCATTACCAACACTTGTTCCCAATACTATGTGAGATTGAGCCTTAAATAGTGATATTATTTTTGAATGTTTTGCTTAAAATTGCAATAATCGCGATTGATTGTAGATTGACTTTTAATTATGATATATTTAATCGTATAATACTAATGCAATTGGTTGCTGATTCAGTTGTTTTAAGGTGCATGATTGTTAATTGTTTCCTGAATAATCACATTGTATTGGAAACAAGTGTTGGTAATGCTCAATCCCACATAGTATTGGAAACACTATTGGGAATGGTATTTAAGGCTTGGCTTTCCCACTTCTTTGTTGAGTGATAGAGAACAAGGGGGACTCTCGCGCGCCGCCGCCGCCGCCGTCCGTCTCGTCTCAGGTTGTGGTCGTGGTCGTTTTGGCAAATCCAAAAAAAAGTTGGTTAAAATCGTATATTATAAGGCATTTTTGGTCACTGAGGTTATTTTCTCTTTTTGTCATTGTTTTTAATTTTTAATAACCATACCTTTATGGCATGTTTTCCTATATCTTTATGACATGATTTTCTCTGCTTTTATGACACGTTTTTGTCGTTTGGTCATTGTTTTCGTTTATACTTTTTCTCAAGGTTGGATTTGACATCGCCACGACTGACCAAGATGACACTTATTTGTTATCAGGCTAATCTTCCCTGCTTTGGACCATCGAATTAGATTTGGATACTTGGTTTACATTCGTGGATAGTTTTTTCACACCGTTCGACTCTGTTTTGTTGTTTGTCAGTAGTCTTTCAATAGATTGATCCCCTTTTGTGGTTTTTATACCGATACAGTCAGATCTATTCGTATCTACCTTTGTTCAAGTTTATTTGATTAGATTTTAACATTTTCTTTGTATGATCATATTAATGATATTAAGTGACTAGTTTTCTTGTGTTAATTATTATAGGAAAATGTCTTTATTATGTGTTTAGTTTATGATTATGATTGTAAACCTCCATTGTAATTTGAATTTTTCTATTTAATAAAATTAGCGGCTTCTATTAAAAATTATAAACTATTTATGGCTTAATATAAAAAAAGTTGCCTAAATTACACCCTTTTTCCCATTTAACCGTATAAACTTTTTTCGATCAATCCAAGTGTCTAACGTTATAATAGTTAAAATTTTAAGTGCATTGACCGTAACGACCATTAAAAAATTCCGTTAAGTGGCATGTGTCATGTTTTAGTAATTTTAAATTTTTAATTAAAATAAAAAACTTAAAATTATAATTTAAAAAAGCCTAAAATTTTCTCAAATCTTAAAAAAATCACAAATTTTTAAAAACCCTAATTCCGATCCCTATACCCATGTCGGCCGCCGCCATTTTTCGTTGCTGTTGTCATCGATAAAACCTATCACGAGTGTGTCTCCACCTGATGATCAGCCACATGATGAACCCCAATCGTAACTTAAACATGACGAACGGCAAGGAAAAATCATGACATTTACATGACTTCACGGGACCCAATGGTGCGAGAGACGACAAGGGTGACAACGGTCGAAAAGGGAGATGGCAATGACGACATCAACGAAGACGATCGTGGTCACAAGGGAGATGATAAGATTAGGGTTAGGGATTTGAGGCTTTTTTTTTGTAATTCTAGAAAATTTTGAGTTTTTTAAATATAATAATTTTTTTGAATTTAAAAAAAATCAAAATTACCAGAACGTGACTCATGTTACTTAATGAATTTTTTTAACATCGTTGCGGTCAGAGCACTTAAAATGGTAACATTTGTAACGTTAAACACTTGGATTGACAAAAAAAAACTTAGACACTTAAATGAGAAAAATATATAGTTTAGACATTTTTTATATATATTAAGCCATTTTTTATACATATTTGATTGGTAAATAATAATTACATACATTTAAGGAGATTTATTAAAAAAAACATTATGACTAATTATTCTAATTCTCGCTTTTGTCATAATAATTAATGAATTGAGATGTACCAATTATACTTAATTCAATAGGATTCATCAATTATACAATCACCCAAACATGAAATACCTATGTTACACGTAATACATTCAATTCCAATTATTTGAGTTTTTTTTCCCTTCCGGTTCCAAAGTTTTGCATTGACTAATCTGAATCGACCCGCGTCGCACACCTAGTTTTGGTAAGTGAGTCTCCCAACAAAGATTTTCTGCATACACAAAGACTCTAACTCGAAATTTTATTTAAGCAATATTAAACTACTTACCACTTAAACCAACCATGTTAATAATTATTTGATGTTTTTTTGAACACATGTAAGAGTTAATTCAAATTTAAGCACTAAACTCTTGGTTTAAATATACGATAATTCTTTATACTATTTCAATATTTAAAAATTTATTTCTTATACTTTACTTTTTTATTGATAGTTTTTAGTCTTACAATTATAAAAATACAAAATAACTTTTTTAGTCTCATTAAGTTATAGTTCTTTTTTTATTAAATTTACTCTTAATATTTTAAGAAAATAGTGATTAACTGAAAAATATAATTTTTCAATCATATGCATTTACAATTTTTTATGAGTCAAATTAATAAAAATTATAAATATAAAGAATTAAGAAGTTCTAATATATTTTTATATAATTTTCAGGTCAATAGTTAATAGTAAAATTTAAACAGAAGTCAATATAAAAAGATAAAAAATTTCAAATAAAAATAATATATGAACTCACTTTTATAAAAGTAAAATATGAGTAAATTTTAAATTTTGAAATAGTGAAGATAACTTTGACATAAAGAAATATTTGTATTGAAAATTTGAAGGCTTAAGTGTGAAAAGTCCCTAATTTTTTTGAAACAAATAATTAAGTCACTAAACTTTTTTTACACTCAATTAACCCCATAAACTCAAAAAAAAAAAAAAATCAACGTGTCCCTTTAACTAATAAAATCTAACATTGATCATTAAAATGGTGATATGATAGTTCATAATACTTATGTAGTGGTCCACATGTGAACGATGATATGATAAATGAGCTTAATTGATTTTTTTTAGTAATTTTAAAAGCTTAATTATTTTACAAAATAAATAATTTTAAAAAAAAAGCATAAGCTATAAAATGATGACTTATAAATTATTTAAAAAATTAAGCATGAATCAAGCGGCCTCAATAGTAAGAGATTTGTTGTTATCTCTTAAGGTCTCGAGTTCGACCATCGTGTATGTAGGGGTATAAGCTTCATTGTCAAAAGATTGTAAGTCTTTGAACATATATTATCTTGTATTCATCTCAGATTTATAAAAAAATTAAAATTAAAAAAAACTTTCATCGAAAAAATCATCATTTGAGTCCAATAACAAAATATTAAAAACAATTAAACACATGAATAATATTTTTTTAGAGTTCATGTTTATTTTATGGTCTATATTTGGGGTTCGTAATTCTCCCTATCAACTATGTCTTGGTGCTAACTATATCAATCATTTTCGAAATAACAAAAACCTCAAAAAGTCTTTGTTACTCTAACGAAGGTTTATTCTGTCAAAAATATATTAAAAAATAGTAATAAAGAGAGATTATCGATGAATTTTTCAACGAGAATGTTTAATTTTGATAATATTTTATTAAATACTTTTTAAATTTTAATTTTTTAATAGATTATCATTTTATATTTTTATATTTTTAGTTTTATTTAATTTTGAATTTTCAATACTTTTTCATCTTTAGTAAATTTTAATTTTTTGTCATTTGATAATTTCTTATACTTTTAATGTAGTACATAAAGATTATTTAGTTCTCGAATTTTATAAAAAAATCAACCAAACCCTCAAACTTTCTAAAAAAACAATTAAATGATTTTGTCACACTATCGTACACATGTAAATTGCCCCGTTAATAAATACGACTTGTCACATTATTACCGTAAACTACTACATTAATACTATAACGGTCAACTATAATTGTCATAAGCCAAAAGATGATATTATTTAATTGATGGATTCAAAAGCTTTGTAGGGTGTTAGAAAAAAACTTTCAAATACTACCACAATAACATACAAAGCAAAAAGAACCATCTCTTTGAAGCCAATTTGGCAAAGAAATTGGATCTCCAAAACAGTATGATCACTGAGCATTGCATTGGGGTGAAAAGTTGATACTAGGATTTTACAAAGAAAATTACAGTAATTGAAGGAAATATGCTACACAAACCTGTAAATTGTAACCCTAAGAAACTTGATTGAATTGTGTTCTTGTTCAATTTGAAGGAGAGGCTGTTCCAGAAATCCTTTCATCTTCCAGAAGTGCATAAGGGTCTATGTATGGGGGTGGCGAAACAGGTGTTTTACTTCCATCATGAATGAACGACAACCCGAAATACTATGACGTAAATATATCAAAATTCGAATTAAACCCTAATAATAACCTGCAACATTTTTAATGGAGTAAAAGAAAGGGGACTTACAAGGTAGAGAGCGGAGAAGAATATGATCGTTGAAAGGATCAAAGGCCAAAATCCAAGGAAGAAAGTTCCTCCAAGGGTTAGCAACAGTTTAGCCCGCGGAACTAGCCCCTGAACCATAAAATAAATTAATGTATCAACGAGGTATGGACAGAAAGGAGTGGCAGAACCAATAATCTATTCGTCCTATGTAAATTTTAAAGTCATGTTTTCTATATATTTTCTAATGATAATTTATTTTCATTCTTAAACTTTTATAAGATAATCTTATAACATAAAATATCGTGTTTGTTCTTGATATCAACTTCAAGATTAGAGATGGCAAACGGGCGGGGTAAGTGCGTATAGCCCATTCACATCTAATATTTTCATATCCATCATATACTCACAACCTGTAACAGATAAAATTTTTAAATCCACACTCATCCAAGCGGGTATATTCTCAAATCCACTCATACATTCAGTGTCAAACTGGATACCCACCGTCCATCTCGTACGCACCTATACCCACCTATATCTGTCTAGCAACAAACTCATATATTACAAAATATTTATACCCTAACATTTGTTTAAATTACAAGTCATGTCTTAAAAAATCTTAAGATTTACAACATAGTCTCTGAAATTATACCTAAATTCATAATGGTCCAAAATTTATATGGTGAATAGTCAGTGAGAGGACGAATGTGAGGTGAGCGAATATGAGATGAGCGTATACGAGGCGAGTAATGTCCTAAATTCATTACCTACTTATTACTCACGATGGTATAATCTTTTATATTTACGTTCGCTCACTATCCATTACATTTATATCCATCTCCACTCCAATTAAAATGAGTGTAATGCGAAATCTAAAAATTGTACTCATCTACAATCTCTGTTCAAGAATGTTATGAGTGCAAAATTATGATATAAATTCATATGAACCTCAAGGCCTTCGCTATTCAAATCCATGGAGCGCTGCCTTTGATTAGATAAGCTTTTTTCATAATCAGTTGAGACAGCATTGGTTGTGGAGAAACTCGTGGTTTCTTCCCCAATTTTCATTTCATAATTGGCTTTTTTGCCATCCTCCAGCAATGAAGCGGGCGTCATCCCTCTCCTCTTCAACTCCTTCATAAACAGCGATTCGGGGGACTCTTCACCTGCTCAACAAAGAAATCGAAGCACAAACTAATGAATCTCGTTGATTTTCACAAAGCTTTTCGATAGGGGTTTCTTGAAAGAAACTAGAATAAAAGAAGCAATTGAAAAGCTTTAGAAGTTGAGAATAAAATGTCACTGGTTTTGTTGTCACCTTCTTGAGTGGCACAACATATTCTAGATCCTTGGCCATGGAAGTTTCGTCTTCTTCTACAAGTATTGAAGTTGAGAATCTTCTTCCTCCTCAAATTAAAAGTGGGAATGGAACACAAAACGGGGCTTATCATCTGTACAGAATACATCCTATTTTCCCTTTATTTCTCAGCATTAAACTTGTTAAAAAGGAAGGCAAATTTTGGATTTTTTTTCTCTCTCTCTCTCTCTTAGAAGTTAGAATTTGAACGAGTTGTAACAGGTTTTGACAGGCTTATGAGATGAGCAAAGGAAAATGGGAGTGCATATTAGAGCGGGGGTGCTTTCAGTTGCTAATATGCACGGGAGATTTTGTTGAATTTTGTGGCTATCAGTTATGGTTTCTGAATAATCATAGAGTACGACCCACACCACACAATCTTAAAAAAAATACAGAAATTCTAAAACCATCCTTTGTAACATCAAGTAATATATATATATATATATATATATATATATATATTAATTGTACTACTTAATTTAAATCAATTTGCGTCGTACACCATCCAATTGTTATACTAGTTGATAAATTAATAGCAATGTTTTAATTTTTTAATTAATCATTATTATTCGATCTACTGATCAATTAATCTAGATTGAATTTTACAATGATTCATTATAGGGATGATCTTTCTCACCCAATTTGTTCAATTCACATAATTCGAACCTCTAATCTCACTTAATAAATCTAGTGCCTCGTCTCACTATATATAATTTAAATATTAAATCCTTCCATTTGCACTCGACCAAATTCAAGATTTAAGAGGATCTCATCTGACCCAAAACCCAATTTGATTTTTAGGTCAAAACCCACATCGACTCTACCTAAATATATAGATATAATTCATTTTTATTAAGTAAAATAAGGATTTGATTGAAAAATAAAATAAAAGGAGATATTATTATAATTAGGGTGAGCATTCAATTGAGTCGAGTAAAAAAATTTCGAGTTATTCGAGTTGAGGAGTCCTATTTTATAACTCGAAGTTGACTCGAATTTTTTTTAGTCAAGTTGAGTTTATAATATTCGAGTCAAGTTGAGTTGAGTCGAGTCGAATTTTTGAATTTCTGTTTAAATTTAATTATAAATATTTATAATATTATGATATTATTTTATTTTGATTTAAATGATTTTTTTATAACCATGTACAATACATATATATTTCTTTGTATTTTTTACATGTGATATAAATATATACAGAATCGAGGGACTTGACTCAAACTTAAAAATCAATTTATTAATTACTAAAAGTTTCATGTTATTCGAGTTACTATTCGAGTTGTATTTTACAACTCGATTTGAACTTAAAAGTTTTTTCGTGTCAAATCAAATTTATGAAATTACTACCCAAAATCAATTCAAGTGAGTTTTTTCGAATCAAGTCAAATTAAAAAATTGATTTTTTAAGTTGAATCAAGTTCTACTGACCTTAATTACAACAATCCAGTTTGTGGAGAAGAGTTGTAATAGCTAAATATGGGTTGGAGTATGTGAGCACCATTTTTACAGACCCAACATCAAACCCAAACAATACCCAAAACCAAACCAAACCAAACCCCGACTCAACCTAAATTTAAAACCCAACCCAGAGCCCAAAAAGACATACTCGACCCGTCTGACAAACTGCTCAACCCACCAGTTAACACACACCACCCACTGTCCAACCGAGAGCCACCCTTCTCTGCTTCAATGTCAACGAAGCTACCAAGCAACACGCAACCTACAGGAAACAAAAGAGAATAGAAAAAACAAAAATTATATCATTTTTCTCTGTAATGAATATAAAACCCAAGCAAAAATCACTGTAAAGGAGGCTTTCGGATTCTTGAAAAAAAAAGAACCCGTTGTAACAAATTTCGTTCAAGGCAATAAACAAGGTTTTTATCCCTTCTTTTTTTTTTGTATTCAAATATCTTCTTTTTTATTTTGTGTTTTGTTTTAGGTTTTGACTCTCTACGAAGAACAAAGTATTTTTAGACATTGAAATAAAAAACATGCTTTTGGTTCGTTCTTAAAACACTAATGTGTGTGTGTGTATATATATATATATATATATATCGAATAAAACAAAAAAATAGTTTTTTTCTTAAATTGAGCATGCAACAACCAACTTCACAGTAAAAAAAAACTAAAAATAAAGGGGTGTTAGATCGGAATCATACCTTTCATCGGAGGTCACCGGAAAGTGGGAGAACCAAAAGGTCGCCGACCATTTTCGTTGCAATAGATGTCGGATCTCACAAAACAGTGGCCCGATTCGAGATCCTGACGTCAAGATGGCGGTACGGCCACTAGCGACGACGGCGGTACGACGACGATCGCAAGGTGTCCGGCAGTGGGCCGACCAAGGGAGAGATGAGAGAACTCTCTCGTTTTTTTTTTGCTTCAAAAGAAAAAAAACCAAAAAAATTGTATTTATAAAACGAGTTAGGGGAAATTGCACTTTAGTCCCCTTAACTTTCGCACGTTCTTACAAAAAGGTCACTGGAATTGACCATTTTCATGATTTTACCATTTTTGTCCATGCTTTGTAATTTTTGGTATAATTTCTTTTTAGTCCCCCTACTTTTAGTATGTTTTTACACTTTAGTCATGTGAAGTGACCTTTTAATTTTTTTTAAAATGTTTGGACTGATTTTGTAATTTTCTCTTTTTAATTTAACATACTAAAAAAATAAATGGCATAATTTCCTTTAGGTCCCTGTAGTTTAAGCGTGTTTTTTTATTTTAGCCCTTAATCTGTTTATTTTTATTTTATTTCAATTTAGCATTCGAATTTCGATTTATTTTAATTTAAACATATTTTATGTTTAATTTATTCCCTTTTAGTTTAGAAATTTCACATTTATGCAATTAGGTCCTTATTTTATGTTTATTTTATTTTTATTCCATGTTTTATTGTTTTTTTATTATTCTTTATTCTTTGTTTTTTTTTATTAGGTTTATTAAATGTCTCAATATTTCATAGTTTAAATTCTTAGATTTAGTTTTAAATTTTATTAACATTCGAATTAAACTTAGAAATTAGGACGACACTTTAGTTTAATTAGGGAGCAATTCGAGTCGAGTTTTCGCATAAGATGCCCGATTACTTGAATCAATTGTTAGACTTTTAAAATTTATTAATAATTAATATTTTCTAAAAAACTTTAGGTTTAATAATTTAGATAATAATTAGGTTTTTAATAAGTCCTCAACTTTAGAAATTATCAATTTAGGTCCTTAAACTTTTAAATCTTTTAGAAATCGTTATTTTAGAACTTGACCTTTTAGTCCCCGAACTTTGACTAATATTTTAATTTTGACATAATTAAATAGGTTAAATAGAGCCTCCACTTAGATTAATTTTCAATTTAGTCTCTTTAATTTAGGGAATAATTCGAGGTTGCCCTCGCATAAATGCTCGAGGGACCATCTCGGTTATTCGATTCAATAATTGATTTAAAATCAAATAAGGTTAATATTAGAACCTACACTTCTAGGTTTGTGCCTTTAGGTCCTTTAACTTTCATAATTTGACACCTTAAGCTAGAAAAAACCTTTAATTTACCTTAGCTTAATTAGGATTAAATAAAAATTTGTTTGATTACATTGTTTTTTAAACCTAAGGCAATGTTCACTTATTAGGGAATTAATGGTATATCTCCCGTAAGTATGCTCAGGGGGTGACTACTGGTGATTCCCTAAATAGGCCGACATCCTTTTCAAAGACTGCATCATGATTTTCTAAAAATGGGGCAATATTCGGTTATTAGGCACAATAGCTGATCTCCCGCATTTACGATTGGGAGTGAATGCTATCGGCATTAATAAACGAATACCCTTTACAACTTTGCATCTGTAATGATTTTTAAATTAAATAAAGTTCGAACTCAATATTTTTTATTCTAAATATAGGGTAATCAACTAGGTACCAATTTTTGGGTTCTTATGGGGGGTGCTAATCCTTCCCCGTGCGTAACCGACTCCTGAACCTAACTTCTGGATTTTCGTAGACCTTAAAACTTGGTATTTTGATAAAAGTAAAATGTTTTATTAGAATCACCCAGATTTTATGGTGTCCCAACCGCACCTGAAATAATTGGTGGCGACTCCTTAGATTTCGAAACGTTTTTTAAAGAGAAAACCCCCGAGTTGATATCGGGCTTTTCCCCGCCTAGGCGAAAAACGGTATCGACAGCTTGGCGATTCCGCTGGGGACTTTTGTTTTTTTAAAACAAATTGGGAGTCGAGCCACGAGTTGGTTACCCTGTATTTAGGATTCTGTAAATTATGAGTTCGATCTTATTTTACGGTTCATTATGTTATTTCAAAAGAAGAAAAAAAGAAATTTTTTCTCTAGTTAATGCTTACACTTTCGTGGGATTATTTAAGATTGTTGCATATTATTGCTCTAAACCCAAGCTCAATCTCGGTTTACCTAACTAGGGAGAAACGTCACACCTCATGAGGAGCATTGGGCTTCCTTGTGTGGGTCTGATAAAGTATCTCTGGAAAGCATCCTAAGTTGTTTGTCCAGATATCAGTTCTAAGATACGTTTTTAGCGATGTGATCCCCTGAGCTGAATCTGATTCGCAAGTCTGTAATGGGCCAGAATCGGAGTCAACCTTATCAGGTTGTAAAGATGGCTTGGGAACCTTTTGCTAGAACCCAGCTTCATATAGAGAATTTAGTAAACCTACCCCGCTAGAGCCATGTGGATAACCTAGGAGAATTAGAACGCATGCAGTTAGGACTATTAATTTCCTTTGTATGCTTTATTTTTCAATCTCAACTTTGAGTAGTATTTAATTATTATTGCTAAGATTACATTTATTTAAATAATCATTTCAACTAACATGATCCTTTTTTGTCTTATTTCTACTAACATTGATTTCCTTTTGTTTGATCTTGTGTTTTGTTACATTTTTGCATGAACATTACATATCCTTCAGAGGTATTGATCCCTTAAATAACTGATCTTTTAGAAGGTTATTGAAAAACAATGCCTTTCACTAGGATTGAAAAAATTTCGAAGATGTTCTACGTAGATCGAGTAGCGCCAAGAGAGAGTCTACCTACTAAAGAGACAAGCCAGACATCTACCTGATGAGATAACAAGGTGGACTCAAGAAGATTCAACGCTGAAGCCAACAGTTGAAGATCACGAACCAACTCGAAAAGATTTCTGAAAGTAGAAGATGAAGTAGAAGCTTTGAAGATGATGCGATGCCCAAATACTTGTAGGAGTTGGAT